CAGCCGTACCTCTAGCAGCTCCAGCAGCACCTTGCTGGCGTCTCCAGCGGCGCGCAAACCACTCGCGCAGCTCCTGTGAGGAGAGAGGCTCCCGCCGAGACGAGGCCCCCGTAGGAACTCCAGCAGACTCAGCACCCCCAGTCTCAGCGACCGCAGGCTCAGCACCCCCAGGCTCCACACCCTTCAGACTCAAAAACCCCAGGCTCAGCACCCCCAGACTCCACACGCTCAGGCTCAGCACTCCCAGGCTCCACACACCCAGGCGTAGCACCCCCAGGCTCCACACGTTCAGGCTCAGCACCCCCAGGCTCCACACGCTCAGGCTCAGCACCCCCAGGCTCCACACACTCAGACTCAGCACCCCCAGCAGCACCACCAGAGTCAACCGCTACCTCGATAGGCTCGACACCGTCTACCTGGGACACACCTGAGGGAGCAGGACCCTGAGGGGGGAGGGGGTCTACCGGAGGAGGACCTGGGGCAAGGAAGAGCGGCGGGGGGGGGGGCACAGAAGCAGTGCGGCAGGGGAAGAGGCGGTAAAAGGAAGCCGACTCGTCGAAAGTGACGTCCTGAGAGGGCAGGACTTGGCGCGAGGTGGGGTGGTAAAACTGCCAGCCAGGCGCGAACAGGGACAAAGCCAAGGAAGACGCAGGGAATAGCCCGGACGGAGAGCTTGTCCGCGCTGGTATTGCGGACAAAGGCACGAGAACCCTAGACCCGAAACACTGACGCATCGCCAACTTTCCCCGTCCAACGCAGTGTGGGCGAGGTCTCCGGCAAGGAGACACGGGGCCAGAGGTTGAGCTGATGCGCCGCGTAACGGACCACAAACGGCCACAGAAAATGGGGGGCAGCCGCATGGACCATGGAGGTACGATCGACCTCCATGACTAGTCCAATGCGGTGCTCAGCAATCCCATTCTGCTGTGGTGAGGCCGGGAGCGTGAACGTCTGACGAATGCCCTCCCCAAGACAAAAGTCCCGCATAAAGGCAAACTTACCACCTCTGTCAGAGTGCAGACGCAAGACGGGAAAGTCCGTCCCGAACCGCTCGCGAAGCTGGAGACTGGCAGCGCGGATCCAAGGGATCAAAACATCAGGGACCTCACCCTTGGTGCGCAAGGGGAAGACCGTGGTGTAACGCGAGTAGTCGTCAACAACCAGCAAAAAGTACCGCCCGCGGTCTTGTCCACGGACGCGGGCTGGGCCCCACACGTCCATGTGTAGGGTCTGCAGGGGAGCAGTCGTCGGGGGAAACGAGGAGGAGTGAGGAGTGGCACTCTGCCGCCCCTCGACACAGGGAAGACAGGGAGGAGCAGGCGAGGGAGGGAGGGGAGGGAGAACCCTGGGAAGACCAGAGACAAGGACACGGCGGTGCATGCCACGAAGGCGCTGCACCGAGGGGTGACCCAGACGGTGGTGCCAGAGGACTGTCTTGTGAGACAGAGCGCGACAGGAGTAGGGGGCCGCTAGCTGACCTGACACAAACGCAGATGCAGACGCAGCTATCTGAGGGGACACAGTAGTCAGTGTGTACAGACTCGAGCCCGGTGCTCGGGTGAACGTGGTCAGGTGCCGACCGGTCCAGGAGCATGTACAGTGGGTCACCCGTTGACCTCCAGGAGTGAACTGGTCTACCAACGCATCCTGGAGGGCAGCTCCACTCACAAAGTTCGTAGAGAACGTGGGGAGGTGGAGACCTGACAGTGAGCCAGACGGGACCGCCGGACACGGCAGGACCGTGGACGAGTGCGCAAGGACGGGACCCCCAGAGGGGTCCGCCAGGGGGACTGCAACTGGCTGACTGAGCCGCGTGAGTGTGGTGCTGTCGCGAAAGAAAGAGCGAGAAGCACCTGAGTCAAGTGTGAAGGTGTGCAAGGCCTCAGCAGGCGCAGTACCAGAGAGAGCAGACTCACCAACACCTGGAGCGAGAGACTCACTAGCACCTAGAGCAGCAGCCTCACCAGTACCTGGAGCAGTAGACTCTATACCTGGGTCAGGCAGCACACACAGGTAACAGTCACCCTCAGCACTAATAGTCACAGCATACATGGCAGCAAGGATAGCATCATAGTCAAGAGCAAAGATATCAACATTCTGCCTAAGCAGATCAGCCCAGCTAGGGAGCTCAGCGGCGTCAGGAAACTGGACGCGCCAGGCGTCAGACAGGCGACCGAAACAGCGCTGTGACGTGTGTGGCCCTCCGCACATCTCCTCGCGGCGCCCGCCGCTGCGGAGAACGTACGTGCAGGGACCAGCATCCCCAGACCTCCCACGCCCAGCGTACCACTCACGAAGCTGCTGGGACGACGGGGTCTCGCGGGAACGCGGCTGCTGCTGGCGCTGGCTGCCGCCAAAGCCTCCACGCTGCGCAGCTCCTGTTGTTCAGGATCCGTCACTTTGAGAGCTTACGACGAACTCATTACTCAACTAAACGCAAATCCGCTCAGTAGGATTGTGCGCCTTAGGCTTAGCTACCATCTCCAAGTTGAATCAGTCATTAAAATGGTCTATAGAGTGAGAACCAAGTAAAAACGTCCAGCAACCGCATGACTAGGATGGTGGAGGAAGTACAGGCATTAGAGCGTAGAAAGTTGGAGTTGGGGACTCCAAGAGAACCATGAGAGGGAAGGGGTTCTCCAAGAGCTAGGGAAGGATGGTAGGAACCTTCCTAGCAGCAAGGATGCAACCCTCATCATGAGGTCCTTGAGGTGTCACATGCAAAATCCAATCTAGTTGGATTTTGCCTAGGTGTTGCAACATTTGCAACCCTTGCTAGAAACTTCTAGCCACCCCAATCCAAAAGTCAAAGTTGCCTTCCCTAACCACCCAAACAAAGATCCCCTTTATAGTCATGTCCAAGTAATCACCCAAATTAGATAGAACTCCAAAAAGGTAATAAGAAATCCAAGTCTTGGAAATCTTGTAACTTGGGCGATCTTGGTCGGAATAAGGCGATCTTGGTATCGTTGGAAAGCTCTGGATTTCTCCTGCATGATAAAGCATTAAAATTTGGAGAATAACACAGAGATGATAATATCCAACAGCCATGCACAACAACAAATGCTCATGCAAACAATGCACGCATGAATAGCACGAGCACTCGGCGGGACGTTAGGATGACATGCATTCAGAATTACGTGCATCCAACAAACTCCCCCTCAGACTAATGGACTGCGTGCACACACACTCACACACATGTAAACTCTCATGCACACAATCACACATGCACTCATGACACTGCTGCCCACACTGGTGCAATGCCATGCCACACATCTTAGCACACTTCCAATGTGCGCTCTCGGGAAGTCTCTTGGTGAGAAAATCTGCCGCCTGATTGCTAGCCTTCACATGGTGAAGCTCAACAATCCCCTCCTTCACCATCTGCCTCACCTAGTGCCACTTAATCTTCATGTGCTTGTTCAGCCCATTCAAGATATGATTATTGGCTTATTGGCTATGCCAATAGCAGCCTCGCTGTCGGAAAAAAGTGGTGTAGGTACCTCCTGTCCAGCTCCCAGGTCCTCCAGCAGCTTCCTCAAGAGCACGATCTCCTTGATGGCGTGGTACATCGCCATGTACTCTGCCTCTCCAGAAGACTGAGCAATCTCACTCTGCTTCTTGGACCTCCAGCTCACTAGTCCACCTCCGACCATGCACACAAAGCCGCCAACTGATGACTGATCCTCCTCCTCTGAGGCCCATGTGGCGTCAGTGAAGCACGATAGCTTCAAGGTTCCAGGCGTGACCCCATCTGCTCCAATCTGTTTCAGCTGGCCGCCAGCTGAATACTGAACACCAGCAGATGCCGTTGATCCGAGGTAGCGCACCAATCGCTTTGTCACCTCCAACTGCTCCTCAGTGGGCAGCTGCACAACTCTGGCCAGCTGCCCCACTCCGAATGAAGCATCAGGTCGCGTATGCACAGCTGCATACATCACACCCCCAATTAGTGACTGATACTCATTCTGCTGCTCATCCTCAAGCACATCATCCTCCTCTTCTGCCTTCTTTAGTTTGAAGCCCGCAGGGAACGGTGTCATCACAGTGCGACCCCCAGTCACACCATAGCGCTCCATGACACCAGATATGTAGTGTGACTGATGCACCTTCAGCCACCTCCTCTCAACATCCCTCTCAATCTGCAGCCCCAAGTAGTAGTGGACATCCCCCAGCATCTTGCACTTGAAGTTGTCCATCAGCAGCTTCTGTGTTCTCTCAATCTGCTCCATGGAAGGTGAGAACAGCAGTATGTCATCGACATACACCAGCACTAAGAGCAGCTGCTCCCCCTCTCCAAGAAGAAACAAGCTGTGATCCGCCTGGGACGTCTTGAAGCCTCCACCTAGCAGCACCTCCTCCAGCTTCTCGTACCAACACCTGGGCGCTTGCATAAGGCCATAGATGGCCTTCTTAAGCTTGCACACCCGGCTGGTCCCATCCTCATAGCCGTCGGGCTGCGCCATGTAGATATCCTCCAGCAGCACTCCATTGAGGAACGCAGTGGTGATATCCATCTGCTTCACGTGCCATCCCTTCACAGCTGCGCCAGCCATCAAAGTCCTCAGTGTCATTGGCTTAGCAACGGGAGTGAAGATCTCCCCAAAGTCGACCTTCTCTTTCCGCTGAAACCCCTTGGCGACCAAGCGGCTCTTGAACCACTCCAACGCACCATCAGCTCCACTCTTCACCTTGAAGACCCACTTGCTGCTGATCGGTCGTCGCCCCTCGGGTAACTCAACAAGCTCCCAAGTCCCATTCTCAATGAGACTGTTGAACTCCGCATCCATGGTAGCCTTCCACTCCTCCTTCTGGGGTCCACTGAGTGCCTCCTCCAATGTGGCTGGTTCTCCAGGCAGAGGTGTGAAGAAACAGAACGCCATCTCCTCATCATCTCCCTCATCCGCCTGAACCGCCATGGCACCTTGCCTGGGTCCTCCCAAACAGCTATACTTCAGCCTTGAGGGTGCTGATGCCACTCTCTTCTCGCGGGTTGCAGTCTACTTCCCATGTGGTGAAGCTCCTCTCTGCACACTCCTCTTGGTGACCTTGGCGTTTGCAGCAGGCTCGGGCTGGATTGGTGAGTCCACACGTGCCGACTCATCCTCCAACCCCTCCTCTGCAGCAGGACCAGAAACTTGCTGCTCTCCACCGCCACCGTGGTCACTGGTCAGCTCTGACCCAGGGAGATCCTCAAGGTGCAGCTGAACCTCCTCCACTGCAGACCGCTCAAACTCCTGCAGACGCAAGCCAATCTGCACCTGCTGCTGTTGCTGCCAGTCCTTGTACATGACGTCCTCCACAAACTTGACGTCACGACTGACCAGCGTCTTCTTGCTCTTGGGGTCCCACATCAGCCACCCCTTTGAGTCAGGAGCCATCCCAAGATGCACAGCCCACACAACAGCAACTTCAAGCTTGTGCCTCTGCTCCTTAGGCACCATCACAAGCCCCATGCAGCCCCACACCCGCAGCATGTCAATGGATGGCTTCCTCCCAAGCCAACGTTCGTACGGCACCCAATGCTTGTCGCCAACATGTGTCAAGACCCTGTTCTTGACCGTGATGACATGGCGAACAGCTTCAGGATAGAACTTGTAGGGCATGCCAGCAGCCCCCAACAAAGTCTTAGCCGCCTCGCCAATGGTCCGGTTGGCACGCTCAGCAATGCCGTTCTGCTGCGGTGTTCCTGGGCAGGTCATCTGGTGTCAAATGCCGTTCCTCTTGAGAAACTTGGTGAATTCTCCTCCAAGGAACTCCCGCTCCACCATCGGCAACCAATCCTCCTTGATCGCCGCTTCAGCATCGCTCTTCTTGGACAAGGGACGTGCCCATGTGAATCTGCTCTATTCATCCACCATGGTGAGGAAGTACAGCACTCCCCCAGTCCCCTCTATCCTCATAGGACCCACCAGGTCCATGTGCACCACCTCCAAGGGTGCCTTCGACGATCACTCCGCACGTGGAAACGGGAACTGCGCAAACTTGTTTTGCACGCACGCCTCGCAGCTGCCATAGTGAGCGCCATCTCCTTGCAGTTGCAGCCCATGCACGCATTTCTCCTTATGCATCACCTCCAGTGTTGAAACAGCCACGTGTGCAAGCCGCCGATGCCAAGTCTCCCAATTCGCTTGGCCCGAGGTAGCCGACGCCTTCACCACCGCGCTTCCTCCAATCAGCTCCTCTCCTTGCACACCTTGCTGCTCCTCCTCGGTGACGCTCTCCTCCATAGATGCCGCCGCTGCCGCCTTGCCCGATTTCCGCCAAGGGATGACCGGGATCTGCCACATGCGCTTGTGGACATCTCCCATCCACTGCAGGTCCCAAATGAGGCGCTCATCGTTGTAGGCACGATAGCGCTCCCAGCCAATCGTCTCGTTGTTCAAACCCGCATCTCCCAACCGGCCGGTAGAAATCAGGTTCGCGCACAAGTCTGGCACCCAGTGCACGTTCTTCAGCCCCACGAGCTCTCCATCCGCTCCCATGAACTTGGCGCATCCCATGCCCATGACCTTGGCCTTGGCCCCCGTCGCGGATGTGACTGTAGAGATAGGTGCGGGCTGAATCTCATCAAGAAGGTCCACACGAGGATTCATGTGCCAAGAGCTCCCGGAATCAATCACCCAATGGGTGAGGGGGTGTAGGAGAACCTTGGCAGCCATAGCAAGGTCGGTTGCGCCTTCGTTCACGAAGAAGAAGAACCCGGCCTTCCGCTCCTCAGATTTGCCGCCTTTCTCCTCATCCTTCTCCTCTCCACTAGCTCCCATGACTCCCCCACTCCTCGTGCCACCACGCTGGTTGCTTGATGAAGGCGGGGTCCAATCCTTGGGTCGTTGGTAGCACTTCCACCAACGATGTCCGCGCCTCTTGTAGTAGAAGCACACCTCCCCTTGACCCCCGCCGCCATCCTCCTTAGGGTTGTCCTTGTTCTTGCCCGTCCACTCTTCTTGAAGCCACTCTTTCCACCTCCAACTCCATAACCAGCCCCCTCCTCCGAGCGCTCCACACTCCGTCGCCGCAAGTCCTCCTCAAGGATGCGCGCGCGAATGCAATCCGCGCTCCACTGGGGCTGTTGAGAGTTGAGGTTGATCGCTAGGGCAGACCACGACTCCGACAGCCGTATCACGATCTCCATGCATTGCACGAGCTCTGGGTACACCACACCGCCACCTTGGAGCTTCGTGAAGATGTCCCGCATTTCATCCAACACCGGTTGCATCGGCTCTTCATCAACGAACTTGATGTCGCGCAGCCGCCGCGCGAGTAGCACGATGCCAGTAGCATGTGTCGGTGAGTGCACATCCAAAAGCTTCCTCCAAGCCTTGGGGCCATACTCTGGATCACCTAAGCGGTCCCTGATGTGGTCAAGTTGTCGTCCGCCAACCGCTTGCACCATGAGCATGTACGCGTCAAACGATCGCTTCATCCACGCTCCTTTCAACTCCGCGGCCTCCGGCATCTTCTCCTTCCCCTCCATCAGATCCAATAGCTTGTATTGGGTGTACATGCAGCAGGTCAGGGGCCGCAACGTAGGGCGGCAGGGCAGGGCCGCGACGTACGGCGGCAGGGCAGGGCCGCGACGGCCGGCAAAGCAGGGCCGCAACGGGCGGCGGGTCAGGCCGCGACGGGCGGCGACAAGGCAGGGCCGCGACGGCAGGGCAGGCGCTCGTCGGCGCAGGTGAGGCAGGCGCGAGGCGCGCGACGGGGCAGGCAGGCGCGGCAGCGCGCTTCGGGCAGGGCAGGAAAAAAAATCGTGGTGGGCCCTTCAAAAATTCGTTCCCACTAGGGAACCTGCTCAGAATACCATGTTGAAATAAATAACAAGGAATGTTTGCATTGAGCACCATGAGGAGTACATGTAGGAAACCCTAAAGAGTTGTACCCCATATGAACTACCCCACTACAGCCTACACAGACTATAGCATATAAGTTTAACAGAATTCCGTAGATGGCGTAATTCTCCTCTAGTTGAAATTCGCATCCAATCTGGGCCGTTGAGGAGAAACCCGATCTGACGCTCAAAATTCCAATTTTTTTGGGTGAAACTCTGTGGGTTGTTGAGATTCAAATCGATCTGACGGACGAAATTCCAACTTTCCTACCAATAATCCTGAGGGGTGTGGATCGAGGGGGACTGAGAAAAAATGCGCAGAACTGGTTTTACATATACGTATCGGCGCTTTTGTCATCGCCCCCGCGTTTTTTTAAGGCCGGTTTTAAGCGGTTGAAGACCTCGCGTGTAAACCCACTCTGACTACCAAGTGTGTGGATCTGGTTCAGGAAATATAAATCTATTGAATGATTCACCTGGGTACAAGGCGCGGCTATATATAGGCTCGACACAAAGGCTAACCCAGGTGTTACTAGAAGGTTCCGCCCGTCGCGAAGCGTCCCGAACGGGTCCTTTTCGAATTCGGTAGAAGGCTATTTGGTGGCAACCGAAAAGCCTAGAATTTGGTGCACTCAACCTAGTTGGGTGCATATAACTATAAAAACTATAGTAAAAGCAACGAACCTAGTAAATCAAGCAAAAGCATGCAAGATTAAAAAAAAAAAAAAAAAAAAAAAAAAACTAAGCTAGATAATTCGTAATTAAGTAGAATCAATCAAGTAAAGTTTATCGAAGCCGTCGTACTCTCACACAAGGGAAAATCGCCTAGGGATAGATTGCCCAAGTAAAAATCGCCTAGGGAAAACCTCGCTCTATACCATGTTACAATATGAGAATGAATAATTAACAATGAACAAAATAGGAAAGATACGTGCAATGCTGGCCCTAACCCTGGCACAACGGAATACACCTAAACCAGAACTAACAAAACTACATAAAGATAGTTTGATAGATGCGCCGTGATGAAAAACAACTAGTCCAGGTATCAAGTCCCACGTAATTGAGTGTTGAGCATAGAAGTCCGGTGGAGAATGTGTTCGTGTTGGAAATCGATGACGAAACCCGGTGTGACTGCGCAAAATTCTTCAAGGGCGAACCAGCGAAAGTAGACCCAAAACCGTGACGAACTATTTTGAAGACCTCGAACTGACATATTTTGTCGTAACACCATGAAAACTTTCGGTGGTGCCTTCCGCAGCTACAGCTGTCAGCACCTGACGTGGTTGAAATCAGGAATTTTGTCGTGGCTGGATCGAGATGAGCGATTTGTCGTTAATAGAGTTGGTAGTTTTATCATGAAATCCACTGGCCGTGAGATCAGGGGTGGTATGAAAATGTAGGCGATGAAGGTGATTGGTAGCGAAGTCAAATACGAGGGTCGGCGACGGTCGTTGCAGAAATAACCTGGAAAAAAAATCACTCCAATCGAAAATGTCGAACTCAATCTCGATGTCGGGTGACATCAGCTTCTCCGGCATGTTGTCTATACTCGCCGAGCAGTTTGTTGCAATGCGTCGGTGGCTCCTTGGCAGAGATGAAAAATTACAGCTATCTCTCCCCCCTCGCCACTGTTGCTGCCACCTTCTCCAGTTCGTCGTAAGTCGTTCGTACCCCTTGAAAACCCCGTGTAGTTCCCGCAATGTTGCCCGAACGTTGTTGTCGCATGCATTTAACCAAACGCCGAAGAATCCTCCAAAACGGTCGGCATTCCTTGCCAAAAGTCTGATGAAAAACTCCGTGAATGTTGGTCGAAAACACAACCCTGTAAATCCTCCGTTGCAGGTTCAGTTCTCGTCCGAAAATCTCGAACGTACTATAGTCGCCCACTCGGTCACCATCAGATCTCGTCGGTTTTACCCAACACCAGCATGTGGGTGTATAATCAAGGACCGGGGACTGTCCTAGGTTATTCCGAGACCGAATGCCACGGAACCTAGTGGCACCAACGCAGTTGACCCCGTCGTCGAAGCTGCTCCCGCCGTTGTTGTTTAACAAAAGAACCACGTATTCCCATCGGCGCTTTGCATATGTTTCACCCATCGCGCGTCGCCCGCAGATAAGTCCTAAAGCTTCAGCTAATCTCACACTTCCGTTTTTTGAAAAATTTCCGAGGTGTGCGTTTAAACAACAATGTTTCCTAGGTATCCCTGCCGATGTGTTTCGTGCCAGGCGACTTTAAAAGGTGACCCTTTAGGCGAAGTCCCCCAACGGCTCAACCGCACTCTAAGTAGCAAAGAGACACAATCAGCTTCATATACTTTTGCTGTTTCACCCCCCGATGATTTCGCTTCCCACTATTCACCCAGCGTCCGCTTTTGCCAGATGGGGTATTATTGGTGTTGCCCACATGAACCCGCTACGGTGGAAAGGCAAAAACTATTGGAGTCAAGGTAGCCTTTATTCAAAGTAACTGTCGCCCAACCCTTTTGTAGCCCACCTCGCCCGTCACGCTACTAAACTCCACTGTTTCAGAATCCGAGCTTTGACCCTACGCCGTCAACTCGTGTAGGCGCCACGATTTTCGCGTGCTGTTTCACCCAGCCCACTTTTGTCGGAGTAGAATAGTGCCGCAAGCTTCCATTTTTTTTGTTTTATTCTGTGCAGCAGTCAAACGGGTGTTAGAGTTATATTTAATATCAATCCTGATTGTTGCAGCTGTTGTAGTGTAGTTCTTTCGTTATTTGTTTGGTGGTGCACCTTCTTATTTCCTTTGCTATATGTTCTTGCAAACGTATAGTGAAGCTACTCATTCTCAATATTCTCCTTGGCACAAACCTCTCGACTCCCGCTTGGCCTAGGCTTCTAGCCTAGGCCCTAGTTAAGTCACTCTCATAACAAGTCGATTGCATGAGTCAAAGCAGTAATTAGTAGGTGAAGTTCGGTCAAAGTAGGGCCACAGATCGGTTCCACCGGGAGCTAGACTACGGGGAAGCATAGTGGTGAGGGTGATCTCTACGTTCCTTAGTCGTTTGCTTGTGTTCTCACTACTTGTACATTCACGGGGGAAATAGGCAAAAGTTTCACTAGCAAAGGTTCACAACAATGATGGCACCTAAGTTGGCAAGCAAGAATGTCAACGGGAGTGTTGTTTGGCCCCGTCCTCGCTTGGGCGGAGCCGACCTCGTGGTCGGATGTGCGGGGGTTGCAGCCGACCTGCAGCAGTGGGCACGCGGGCCACTGCAAGGGCGCCGAGCTGGAGGGCGCCTAGCTGGAGGGCGCCGAGCAAGAGGACGCCGTCCTGGACGCCTGGTTGGCGTCCTGGACGCTTGAACGGCGTCCTGGAAAGCTGCGCGCCGACCTGGGCGTCGGCACGACTACCCGGGCGCCTGCATGGCGTCCTGGAAGGCCAGACGTCGACCTTGGGCATCCTGGGAGGCCAGACTTTGCACGTACCGATCGTGTTCGTAGACCGGCAGCCGTGTAGTCACTAGCGTGCGCGTAGGCGACGCCGAGGTGATGGACACCCTGGAGGGACGGCTGGAGGATGCGAGGAGACGCCATGAGGCCCAGGAGTATGGGGCGATACCCTGGGCAGTCGTTGAGGCTGGACTCCGCTCCGTGTGGGCGGCGGATCACCCCCCTTCTCGACCTGCCTCTCCTCGACCGGTGAACAACGACGGCGGCGTCGACGTGGGCGTCAACGCCGGTGGAGGTCAGGTCGGCAGCAGTGCGGGAGGCACGTCGAGGCAGCGAGGTGTGATACACGCCGGTGAAGCCGGCGGCGTTCAGGCGCGAGGGGTGCAGTCGTCGGCGGCTACAGGCTCCTTGCAGGGCGACGTCGGAGGACGACGAAGCGGGCTGTCGCCGATGTCGGCGTCCCAGGTGACGGCAGGCGGAATTGCGCCGAGCTACGGCTACTTCAAGTTTACGCCGGACAGGATCTCGGTCACCCCTCCGCTGGTCGGTCGACCCGACATTCTCACCTGGAAGGAAGCTATCGAGCCCCAGCTGGAGATGGCCGGGCTGATCGGCTTCGCCCGAGGGACAGTGGCGACGCCGGGGGAGCACCACCCCGACCTGCGTGCGGAGTTTCGCGCCATGCAGCTGTTGACCTTCACGGTCATCTCACGGTGTTGCTCGCCGGGCGTGCAGATCGCCTTGAAGTGGTGCCGGGAGTACCTCGACGCCGGCCACCGGGCGTGGCACTTCATTGAGTCGACGTACCAGGTCACCGACGACCTGTTCATCGCCCAGCTGGAGGGACAGCTGACGCACCTGCGTATGGGTGACGAGGAGACAGCGACTGACTACTGCAATCGAGCCCGGCGAATTCTCGCCACTATCAGGATGGCCGGCGCGCAGTACTCCACGGCGTCGTACATCACCCATGTCATGCAGGGACTCTCTAGCAGCTACAACCTTCTGAAGCGGCTGTAAATGGCGCCGAGCACGAGGGCGACGCTCAACGAGGACAACCTGACCTCGAACATCCTGCAGGACGAGACGATGCAGGAGGCTGAGCGGTCTCATGAGCTCTTGGCGCAGGCAAACTTCGTCGCCCCAGCGAAGCAAGGAGGCCGACCGAGGCAGCGCGGACAGTCTGGCGGTGGTGGTAGCAGTGGCTGGAAGTCGACCAAGGAGGTTGACAAGAAGAAGTCGACCAAGGACAGCGGTCG